TTGAGCTTGGATGTGTATAAGGAAAAGTATAAATACGATCCACTTGTAATTTGGCACTTTATTAATACATATATTAATGTGTTATGTTTCAAATTTTATTGAAAAATATTAATCACCCGAGGAAATACAACAAATCCGCGTAAAAAGTGCACTTTTAAACGGTGTACATGATTCCGCCATTTTGATTATTTTGGAACAAAAAATCGAAATAGTTTTATAAATTACAATGTACTCCCTATAGCGTGACCGATGATTTTGTTGATAACATTTTCAGTTTCCAAAATACGATAACATTTATCATGTCAAAAAATGTGCCAAAAATTTAAACATGTCTAGTTCCGTCAATTTAAAAAATAAATAAAGCTTGGTTACACGATAGGGAGTACGTTTTAATTTATAAAATTTCGATTTTTTGTTTCAAAATAACCAAAATCGCGGAATCATGTACATCGTTTAAAAGTGCACGTTTAACGCTGATTGATGTATTTCCTCGAGAAATAAATATTTTCCAGTACAATTTGAAACATAACAAGTTTAATATATGTATTAATAAAGTGCCAAATTATAAGTTGATCGTATGAATACTTTTCCTGCAATCCAAGCTCAATAAATCTTTATTTTTCAAGCTGGTCAAAGTGTCTTACTCCCTTAATAAGCCACAGTTATGAGAAAATCTGAATTGTTACAGCTGGTTTTGAACACATAAGGCACCTGAATCAAATAGATCTCAACGCGGTGAGATTATGTTTTCAAGTTTTCTTGGAAGGGAACAAACCGTTACAGCCTATCGAGTCTGACCCTATTTATAATAAAAGTATGTAACGTGCTATATGTCATTTTATATAAAAATGTATATAGCATAGACAGTGCAAGCCAAAAATGTGGAAACACTTTTAACAATTGTAATTTTTCAAATTATTCAAATACAATCTATAACAATATAATTTTTAACAATAATTTTTTAGACTTAATAATTATTTCATAACATCAAAATCACAATTTATCTTTGTTTTGTCGTTTGTTTCACATAATTGTGAGTTATATAGTTTATCTGCATCTGTATTTCCAAATTTTTGACCAGTGCATATGTTATTATATACAGGAGAATACAGTAGTTGATAAATCTTATTGGATTCTGCATAAAAATTTCATAATGCGATTCATAATGCGATTCATTTGATAAAGCGTCACACATTGATAAAATGTATCTGTGGCATCAACATTGTGTACATTAATTTGCATTGCAAAAAACAACAATAACAAGTGTTGCAACTGAGAAAAGCCCCATTGTCCTAAGCGAACGTATGTACATTTAGATGTGAAACGTTATTAGAAGCATTTTTTAATATATCTGACCATTGCAATCTTTCATAGCCGCAAGCAGTTATGGGTCCAAAATGGACCGAAATGTGTAGAATTAGAACTTTTGCCGGATCCTTGTTATTTTGCAACAAATAGAAAGAATGTGTTTATGAAATGAATAGGTTTATTTCCAGTACTATGAAATCGTTTTTATTGCAATGAATTGCATCTTCTTTCTTTAAGCTATTCTTTATGCTACGCGCTTTGCGAAAAATCGTTTCGATATTCGAATTTTCAATACTCTCTCGTACTCCTCAGATTACTTTATATTTTTGAAATCTTTACATATAACGATCATTTGATAACAACATTGCGTATCGTTAATTGCTTTGCGTAAAACATCAATGACAAGCTCCGAAAAAACACATTGACCAAAAAACGTACATTCAAATGTGATTATATTATCATAGTTTTTGGTAGCTATCAACTCTATTGCAATACATCAACATTAAAAAGTCTGGTTGATGATTCAGTTGGATGCGTTCTGCTTTGGTCCGAGTATTATAAAATTTCTTGAACAGAAATTTCTTCCGCCGTGTTACGCACTTCGTATTTCTCTACCCAGTTTCGGCATCTCTTAAATCAATTTTACGATCTAATTATTATCCTTTTATACGTCATCTTTTTATACATGTGGAAGATTGAAAGCCTGGGAATAGTGTGGCCACATTTGTCCCGTGTGCAGGGCTATACAAAAGAAGAAGATCGATACTAAAAGGATTAAGAGTCTTTAACGAATTGTATTCTTGATTTTTGGCCTGTCATCTCATAACGACTGATTTATTACACCTTATGTCTATTAAGACTTTCAGCGTTCATATATAGAAACTATAAAATAAACTATTGAATGGCATAGTTAATTTTTCTGCACGTAGGCAATTTTGAACTAACACCTTTCTACTTGCAACGTACATACGCTGTTTCAGAGACAATGTCAGATCTCGAGATTTGTAAATTGAGCCATTCGAGCGCAACGGTTGCTGGTGAAATGAAAATAATTTTGCTGTGTGAAAAAGTCGCAAGAGAAGATATACAAATAAGATTTTTTGAGGAGAGAAATGAGCAACTACTTTGGGAGGGATACGGCGATTTTCATCCGACGGATGTACATAAACAAGTAAGTGAACAAGAATTGTGTAAGCTGTTAATTACATGGCTAAGTTTAAGCAAACAGAAGCAGCTTTGCTACTTTTGTAAGATTCTTTAATTTGATTGGTCAGTATTAAGATCTGCGAGGAACTAAAGAATCAATCATATTCAAAATCTTATAACGTTACAATTTCAAAACTGCTTTTTTGCTGAATGCAGCCACTGTAACAGTTGCAATACAATAGTAAAGAATAGAATTTGTTTGTCATTGTATTGTCTGCGTCGATACTGTTCTTTGTAGACTGCAATAGAGTTCAAAACGCCTCGCTATCATACACAACAAGTGGACAAGCCGGTGCAGATGTACATCCAACTTAAAAGGCCATCGGACGGTTATACGAGCGAACCTCTACCGTTTGAGATGTTACCAGTAGGTACAGCTAGGCCAGCTTTCTGGCGTCCACGGACATCACTTGACGACGTCTATGACGATGAAGACCTCATTGTGATGGATCCTAATGATGAGCTTTCAGGTACCTTCGTTACCTTAGATGCCTACAACCTGGAAGTCTACTCATTACAAACAAACTCCTATATGTATTTATAATATCGACGAATTCAACAATAACGATCAGGACGCGTTTCTAGTAGTATGAAACCGTGTTCCCTGCACTGAATTACATCTCTTTTCTTTAAGCTATTCTTTATGCTACGCTGCTTTGCGAAAAATCGTTTTGATACTCGAATTTTTGATACTCTCTCGGACCAATTTATATTTTTGAAATCTTTACATATAAAGATCATTTGATAACAACATTGTGTATCGTTAATTGCTTTGCGTAAAACAGCAATGACAAGATCTGAAAAAACACATTGACCCAAACAAACGTACATTCAAAATGTGATTACATTATCGTAGCTTTTGGTAGATATCTGCACTGTTGCAACACATCGACATTGAAAAGTCTGATTTGATTATTCGATTGGATACATTCCGGTTCGGTCCGAGTATTATAAAATTTTTTGAACAGGAATTTTTTTCCGCCGTGTTACGCACTTGTGTTTCGGATTCGTCTACCCAATTTCGGTATATCTCAAATCAAATTTATGATTTTCATTTTCAAATGAAATTTATGAATTATTATTATCCTTTTATACGTCATCTTTTTATACATGTGGAAAATTGAAAGCCTGGGAATAGTGTGGCCACATTTATCCCGTATGCAGGGCCATACAAAAGAAGAAGATCGATACTAAAGAATTGAGTCTTTAACGAATTGTATTCTTGATTTTTGGTCTGTCATCTCATAACGACTGATATTTATTATTTACACCTTATGTCCATTAAGTTTTTCAACTCTCATATAGAAAATATAAAACTATCGAATAGCATAGTTAATTTTGCTACACGTTCGTAGACAATTTTGAACCAACTTCTTTCTTGTGTATACGCTGTTTCAGAGACAATGTCAGATCTTGAGATTTGCAAATTGAGCCATTGGAGAGCAACGGTTGCTGGTGGCGTGAAAATGATTTTGCTGTGTGAAAAAGTCGCAAGAAAAGATATACAAATAAGATTTTTTGAGGAGAGGAATGGGCAACTACTTTGGGAAGGATACGGCGATTTTGAACCGAGGGATGTACATAAACAAGTAAGTAAACAAGGTTAATTATGTAAACTGTTAATTACATGGCTAAGTTTA